TCTTAAAACAAATACAGTGCGTATCTACGTGTTGTAGAGCTCATGCGCATCCATATTAGAGATGCCATAGTTTTGCTCGGCACTCTTAAAGGAACTTCTATTCGAGTTTTATGAAATTACTTGTGCTATATTATCCGAGGCTTCGTTTTTTCTTTGAGCATAAATTATTTTCATCAGACAGGTTGCTAGCCTCATCTGACATACCCGTAGGAGGGGAAGGGATTTACTGTGGATAAGCCTGAGCCATTACCACATACCCCGATTCGCACTCATTACTTAGCCGGAGCTACGTCTGTTGCCAGAAATAACTCCGTTGCCCAGTGGTCACCCCGTGGAGGTGTAATGAGCACTTGACGACAGCCGTCACAGTTGCGGCGCTGGAATGTTCAAGCTAGAACAAACGGTCAACGCTTTCCCTGTCGCTTGCCCGTCCGACCACCAAAAAATGAACGAGCGAAGTCAGGTGTTGGTCTTTTACTTCACGAAAAATACGAAAATAACATAGAAGAACCTAATTATATAAATGATCGATTGCTGCAAGTTAAAATAAAGATAAAACCTCACATCACAACACATTTGATTAGTGTCTATGCTCCAGATAGTACAAAACCCCAACTAGAAAAAGACGAATTTTATGATAAGCTTCAAAAGGCGCTTGATAATATTTCACCTAATGATGAAGTAATTATACTTGGCGATTTGAATGCTCGAGTCGCAAATGAGGCTATTGACGGAATAAAAAGTCGATTTAATGAAGATACGATCAACGGAAGTGGAGAACAACTTATCCATTTCTGCGCACATAACGAACTCCGCATTAATAACACCTTTTTCGACCATAAGATGCAACATAAGTACACTTTCGAAAATTCTAGAGGATTTAAATCGGTAATAGACTACATAATCACAAATAGAAATGTGCACCCATCGAAAATATTGGATGTGAGAGTATTATCTTCAGCAAATGTAGGAACGGAACATAGTTTGGTTTTAATGAAGTTTCGTGAAAATCCTATATTAAAAGTAAACGTGAGCCCACAGGCAAAAGAAAAATTTAACATCGAATCCTTCTCCAATGCCTCAACACGGAGTCTATATGAAGTAAGACTTAACACAAAAATCCTTAACTGTCAAATTTCCGAAGAGGACAGTGTAGAGTCTGCGTGGAGGAAATTAAAATCCAACATAATAGAAGCTGCCACAGAAGCCATTGAAAAACGTAAGATGAATCCAGGTACTAAAAAGAAAAATTCAAAGCCTTGGTTCTGTGACGATGTTAAAATATTAGCGGCAGAAAAACAAGCGTCTTACTTGAAATATAGATGTCACCAGATCACATACAATCAATACAGAACTACACGAAACAGAATAAATATCGCAATATCAAACATAAAGAAAGAGTTTTGGGAACGGTTTTCTGCTGATATGGAACATGATCTATATGGTGCGCAGAAAAAGGTGTGGAATATGTTACGAAAACGAAAAAAACCTATTAACGAATACTTGACCTCTAGCAATATATCAATCCCAGAATGGGAGCAATATTTCAAAAACCTATACAATCACCAGGAACTCCCAAGCATGAATCTCAGAATGAGCGAAACCTCACAGAATGAAACACCATTCACAGTTTCAACAAATATGGTGGCGACTAATATCGCTAAACTAAAAAACAGGAAATCGCCAGGTCTCGATGAGATCTACAATGAGATGATAAAATATGGAGGATCGAATCTTCGCAGCGAAGTTACAAACCTATTCAACAAAATTCTGGAAAATCGTCAAGTGCCACAAGAATGGAAAGAGAGCCTAACGATTCCAATTTTTAAAAAGGGAAGTAGACAAGTACCAGAGAATTATAGGGGAATAACTTTATTGAGTAGTATATCCAAATTATTCACTAAGATCCTTGCAACCGAAGTATCCTCCACTGGTATAAGCGAGGAACAACAAGGCTTTAGATCAAATAGATCCACAACAGACGGTATTTTCATATTGAGACAAATATCAGAAAAAGCAATCGAATACAACTCGCCTGCCTTCATGTGCTTTGTCGATTTAACAAAAGCCTTTGACAGAGTCGAATTGCATGATGTGATCACCCTTTTAAGGAGAAGAGATGTCCACAACAACATAGTGGATGTAATAGAAGAATTAAATAACAACAACAAAACTTCTATTAAAGTCAATGGCGTCGTTTCATCTCCGGTAACAATAACGAAAGGTATCAGACAGGGTGACAGTCTAAGTCCAATATTGTTCAACATCGTGATGGACGAAATAATTAAGACTGTCAAAAATGCGGGTAGTGGTTACAGAATAGGCGACGATGAAATAAAAATTATATGTTTCGCCGATGACGCAGTGCTTGTTGCTAATGACGAAAACAACTTACAGCGAATGCTTTATGCATTCGAAAAGGTAGCAGGAAAATTTAATATGAAAATCTCTGTCGAAAAAACAAAATCAATGACCTTCTCAAAAACTCCACTTCGATGCAAGCTTGCCGTCTATAATAAAAGTGTTGAACAAGTAATGGAGTTCAATTACTTGGGCTCGATAATAACGTCATCCCGTGACCTCAACAAAGAAGTGACAACGCAAGCCAGAAAAGCCGCCTCTATATCCGGGTATCTAAGAGATGTGATATGGAGAAATAGAACAATGAGCATCAACAGCAAGGTCCGCATTTATAAAACATGTGTCAGACCGATATTAACGTATGCGATAGAAACAAGGGCTGATACAAAAAAAACAAGTAGTATAATGAATACAACAGAGATGCGTACGCTCAGATCAATAGCAGGATATACCATGTTTGACCATAAAACCAACGAAGAAGTGCGACAAAAATGCGAAATTCAAGGAGTAGAAAAATGGGGACGCAGAAGAAGAAAAGAGTGGAACCAACATGTACGCAGAATGCTCCCAGAAAGCATAGCTTATAAGGTACTCAGTGGCCGACCAAACTCAATGAGGCAACCTGGTAGACCGCCTAAGCGTTGGTACGAGTGTTGGACATCTGGATCAACCGACAATCAATAGGAAAAAAAAAAAAAAAAATGTATATATGTATATATATATGTATATATGTTTTATATTAAATAATTATTATATATAATATATAAGAGGCTAAGTGGTAAAAACAGAACAATGTTCTATAATAAAGAGGAAGAAGAAGAAGACTTGTGCTATAAATATTGTAGCAATTGCTGCGAATCCCTATAAAATTCTCACTTTAGCGTTACAGGCTACTTAAAAGATTTGGTAGCCGTTGCGCAACAATAAAATGAACAATAAAGCTTCCTTAATAGTGCTATAAAGGTCGATATGAGCTTAATAACTAGAATTCCGCATTAAAATATTACGTGGGATACCTAGAAAAATGTAAATTTTCTTTTAGTAGGGTTTCGTTTTGTGTCTTCTCAATTCACTGAAATGGCTGCCAGTTAGTTTCGGTAACAACCAGAATTGAAATATCAATTTTCGGAAAATTACATTAATTACTTTCTCAGATATTAAGAAAATGTAAATATGGTCCCTAGTTCGGTCTCTGAGCCCTAATCATTCCAAAAAATTTATATGTTTATTGTTTTAACACTCCAGTTTTAAATATTAAATTTCAAGGAATTTGGTTGATTAAAATTGTCCTGGAAAAAGTCCACTTGCCAAGCTCTACTATATCCAAAAAGTCGATCAATCCATCACATAGCCAAAACAAACTCACATATAAAATTTCATGAAAATCGGGTGAACCGAACTTGAGATACACGCGTGCAACAACAGGTCGGCAGACTGACATAACGTTACTATTGTATTCACAATACTGTCGGTAAAAAAGAAACAAAAATATTGTAAATCATAATAATTTATTATTTTAATTATTTTTATTATATGAAAGATATAATGCTTTTTTGAATACAAATAATCATTTATGTAGATAATTAATAATTAATAGAGATCAGTTAATAATAGTAACTTTTCAACTAAAATTGTTAATTAATTGCTTCTGTGAGAATAAACAAACTGAAAATTGTACAAATTTTGTTTTAGGAAAAATTTACAAAACCAATTAATTTTTAATTTTATGTAAAACTTATACTAAGAAACAAAAACAGACAAAAAAATTACGAAGCTTGTTGTTCATCAGGAGCTGAAGCTCTTACCACTCGATTATTTACAAATCCACAATTAGTCAAAAGATGTTCGTATGAAGTTTCTACTTTTTCAAAAATACTTTTTGCTTTTGCTTTTTCTGCAATTTTTTTTTATCGAATAGCATCAAGATAAACTAAAGCACATATTAAGGATTTTATTTTGACACACTTGTTGTTTCTGCTTGTGGCACCTAGCCATACTATGCCATACTGGCGAAGGACATAATAAGTATGATTGGAAAATAGATTTAAATATTAAAATTTTGTTATATTTTTTTAAAACCCCAGTCGACTAGATAATTATCTAAAATTAAATTCCTCTTTGGTATGTTAGATAGAACATTAAAACTTCTTTCTAAAATTTGAATAATTTGATTAAGGCTTTCAGAAGAACTTATGAGGGCGGTATCATCAGCGAAAAGCCCAAAAGTGCAGTTTTCTGGTAATACATACTAGAACCAGGTAACCCACCATACCATACGCTATCAAAAGATTTTTGTATATCAACTGTTACCATACCAGTAGAAATTTAGAGTTTATTAAATTTTGAATTTTCAGTAATTGGTGACAAGTTTGATATTTTTCGCGAAAACCAAATTGTTTATGTGGTAAAATTCGTTTTTCTTCGACAAATAAATGCAAACGGGTTTTAATACCCCTCCCAAATATTTTTTTTGATAATGGAAATTATCATTTCCGTTATCAAATCGGCCTATAACTTGATATTGGAGTACGAGGTTTGTTAGACTTTAATATGCAAATAATTGAAGCATTTTTCCAACTGTTAGGAAAATAATTACGGATGAGACAAGCATGAAATAATGTTGTAAGAAATTTTATAGCTTATTTCGGTAGCATTTTTAACATTTCATTATTAATTCCATCTTCACCAGGACTTTTGTTGTCTTTTCGTGTTTCAATAATGTTTTTTAATTCCTCAGAAGTGAATTTGTGTATAGAATTTGTGTTAATATTTATACTTAATAAAGTGCGTAAATTTAAATTAGCTGCATTCTCAGTTTGTGAATCACTAGGGTTGCGTGCAAGTGGATCCAGTTCGCTAAAAAAATCGGCTAGTGCACTAGCTTTTTCCGCGTTACTTAGAAGCAACTTATGAACCGATTTCAAGTGAGAAATTTGCCTGTTTCTATTTTTTAGTAATTTGGAAAGTTTCGAAAAAGACTTGCTACCACTTTCAAAACTATTTGATAATGATGACCATTTTTATTTTTCATTTCTTGAATTTTCTCTTGTATTATTTTAGTTAATTTTCTGAATACTTTTTTTGTATTACCGTTTCTGTTTCTTTGCCATTGTATAAGAAGCATATTACGAGAACTTGTTATATCATGTATATTGGGGAGAAGTTTATTTTTATTTGCGGGTTTAATTTTCAAAATTAGAACTAAACACTTTGCAGCATTATTTAAAAGTGATATAAATCTGGATAAATATTCGTCAATATCCTGCTTGGTATCGATATCAATATTTGGTAAATTCTGTTCAATATATCGTAAAAATGTTTTCCAGTTTTCCATTGCAAAATTGAATAAAGAGTCGCACTCACTTTTTTGTGGTTGGCCATCTAAATCGAATAAAACCGGAAAGTTTTGTCTATTGTTGAAGGATTTCCTCTTAAAGTTCTGGGAAAATGTGTTGGTGTAGATGGAAAATATATTATGAAATTTCATATTGTTAGTATTTTCGTGAAGTATTTTCCACCAATGGTTATTAGCTATACAATTCCAAAAAGTATATCTGCAGTTCAGATCACCAATCAATAAGTATTTATATGGCAATCTAGAAAAAAGACTCAAATCTCGTTTAAATTTAGTGTTTAAATCGGAATTACTATTACCTCCTTTGAAATAAGCTGCTATCACCAGGTAATCACCAGAACTAGATAATATTTTAATAGAAATGGTTTCCAGAATTTCAGTATAAAGATTAGAAAATATATGGTTCTTTATTCCACGCTTAACAAAAATTCCTACGAAACCGTGGCCTCCGTTTTCTCTATCCTTTCGATGTATATGATATTTACAGTTATATAAATTTTTTTCGGGCTTTGGCCAAGTCTCAGTTATAATCGCTATATCAATGTTTTCTTCAAGCAAAATATCGAATAAATTCAGCAGATTTTCCAAGAATGTTTTCGGATTCCAATTCATTATTTGGTAATTATTACACATTGTTATAAATATATTTTATCCAAACTTCAGCAATAGAAGTAATTTGGTTCTCTTTGGATTTACACATTTTTAATTTTGATAATGGTTCTCTAGTTACAAAAACTATTTCAAAAGCAGTAAAAAAATTGTTTACATAATTATTTGTGTTTCTAACAAACTGAGAATTAATGTTGTTATTGAAGTGACTATCATTTAATATTGATTGCGTGGCCGCTATAGAATGAGCATGACTATGCTGTTGTAATTGGTGTTTTAAAATTTACTAGCGATAGTAATTTTGCTATTTAAATGTGGGAAATTGTTTGGATTGTATTTGAATTTTTTACTTTCCGTTTTATACATGGATATGTTTTTATTATTTACCTTGCGTAATTTTAAGGCAACCTGTAATTCAATATATTCAGCTCCTACTTTACATTTAGTTGAACTGGCTTGGTGGCTTTCTTTACTGTTGGTACATTTGGTATTATGATTTTCAATATTGGGTTTTTGCTTTTCTGGAAAAATTTTTGTCAGGTTTTGAGCTCATATCCTGCAGCGTCTTTTAAGGTGACAGTGTTCGGCCCAATGACCAAATGTTTGGCAACGGTGGCATTGAACGATTCCACCATATTTACTGGTGTTTTGATAATATTCCCACGAAACAATTGTATTTAAAACTATTTCAAATACAATTCAAAATAGTTTTAAATTAATTTTAATTCTACAGTATAACAACAATTCTTTTCTTTTTTACCGACCGTATTGTGTAAACAATAGGTAAGTTATGTGATGGCAACAAATTTTGCATATCGAGTTTTCGGTGGGAATGCACTTCTCCATAGTAGGGAAGTGTAAATAAACTATTTTTAGCAACCTGTCGGTCTGTCGGTCTGTCGGTCTGTGTGTGCACACGTGTATCTCAAATTCGGCTGAACCGATTTTGATGAAAGTTTATATGTAAGTTTGTTTCCACCATGGCACGGATCGATCAACTTTTGGTACATATCAGGCCTCGGGAACTGCACTTTTTAGCGGGCCTGTTTTACATTTTTGAACATTTTGAAGAAAATATTCAACTGATTTACTTGAAATTTTATTTATAAGCTCAGCTCGACCGTCCGCAAAAATTCGTATGTTTTGGAAGAAATCAGGCATCGGCAACTAGACGTTTACTACGGGCCAAATATACATTTTTGTGTATATAAAGAGAAATAATCAACCGATTTCATTGAAATTTAATATATGAACTTCTCGTATTAAAGCAATGAACATATAACTTTTTTGGAAAGATCAGGGCTCGAGAACTGATTTGCGGGCCGATTTTACATTTTTCACCATATCCACAAAACAAATTGATGGAATTTCTTGAAATTTGATATTTGAGTTCTGGTTGTTACCGAAACTAACTGGCGAGCATTTCAGGGAATTCGGGTTGCACAAAGCGAAACTCTACTAAGAGCCAAATTTACATTTTTCTAAGTATGTTAACTATAAGCTTACTAATGTCCTAAAAACTGGAAAGAAGTATTTAACAGAGATTTTTATAATATTCTGTAACACTTTCATTTAACTAGACAATACACAATGCGGTTGGTTATGTGCTGACCACATCAGATTTTTTTTTATTGGTATGAAAAGAAAACTTCCTTTTATTCGGAATAAAATACTTTTTTTTATTTTTTGCTAATATATTTCATGCGCTACGTACGCACTTTATCAAAGCTGACTTTCTTCTCCAAAGTACTCAAAGGTCTTCATAAAATGGATACCTAAGGGTTAAAATCCATTCTAATCAATATGAATTTAGAATGTCTCACAGTATTTTTACTACCATTTTTGTAGGAGTTTCACTTCTGTCGTATGACTAAAAAATTTGCAGTTTCACTATCTAGATTTTTATATAGTGTTTCGTATTCATTTAACGTATTACAAAAAATCTTTGTACAAATTTTTTAACTTTTGATAGCATACTCTTTTATGCCCAATTGAGACATCTTATTTTTAATATAAACGTTATCTTTGTCAGTAACATCGATATGTGGCACGTGTTCTTCTTTTTTTAACATTGATTGATTCATCAATATCATCATTTGCTGGTATTTGGCTTAATGGAGCAAAATAATTATTTTCAGTTGACATTAACTTGTTTTTTTTTTTTATTATTATTAGCTTTAGCCATTGTTTCTAATATTTTATTATTATAATATTTTTATGTTCATCGTCACTAGATGAACAATTTCTTATTATTTTCAAACTCGTAATTATGTAGAGGTATAAAAAAAATTTTTAATATAAAAAAAAAAAATTAAAAACCGGATTATCGATATACTGATGCAACTGTATCAGTGGAATGATCATACGATACTGATAAATCATAAATATTAAAAAAAAAAAAAAATTATTTATTTGACCACATGAAGCATTGCCGTTTTGTTCTTGTCGGCTGAATGCTATTTCGATACACCACTTTCGTAATTTCTGACTTAAAACCACTTATCATAGGTTTTCGAAGATGATCTTTCAGTATATGTAATCAGTTTTTTGCTATTTTATTTAATTTCGTACATACACCTCCACTTAAAATTCGTTTTTGGACGCATTTTGATCCATATCCAAAGTCGTTGGAGTATGAACCAAATTTTCATATATATTTTTCAAAAAATTTTTGAGTGCTATAATGACTCATGTTATTAAAAAAAAATGTTTGTATGACATTGATCACTGTAGCACATTACCTGTAAATTAAACAATTCAATTTTGCTATTTACCCAGTTCCAAAATTTTATTTATTCCATAAATAATTTTTTTGTTTATTCACCTTACTTGTTTTTTCACATACTTAACTAAACAAAACATATTTTAAAAACTTTTTAAAAACATTAGATCGCTTTGTTCTCATATTTCAAGGGGTGCTTACAAAATATCGTGTAGTAATTTTACTTTTGTCAAATGTTTCTAAACCTGAAACAAATTTTTATTATTCTCCTCATAAAATACCAGTTATTTCAAATATTTGAGAGTCCCTTTTTACAAAATGGAAAAATAACAAAAGTGTCCGCTATAAATTCATCTATTAATTAAATTTTGTATTTTTGAATGTAAAAATTGAGGGCTCAAAATTTTTTTCTTTGGAATAACTTTAAAAACATCAGTTTAATTTACAATTCGTCATCAACTACTTAAGTTTATTGACCACACTCAATATTTGATTAAAGTTAATCATATGATATATGATTCATTGTTTTAAACATATTTTGAACAGGTATAATTGACTATTATAAGTCAGTGTAAGCTTTTCGCTGACAAATTTAGTACATACTGTATTGGAGGCCTTTCATAATGTGTTGAAACCGTCATTCTAATTGTTTTAAAAAAAAATCCAATAGAATAATGCTTTTGTCGAATTCCAGCTTTTTTAATGCTTTGAAATTCTTATATATTCATTGCAGAGAAATATTCGATAGTAACAATTTCAATGGAACTATATCAAAAAAAAATCTGATGTGGTCAGCACATAACCGACCGCATTGTGTATTGTCTAGTTAAATGAAAGTGTTACAGAATATTATAAAAATGTCTGTTAAATAGTTTTTTCCAATTTTTAGGACATTATAGTAAGCTTATAGTTAACATACTTAGAAAAATGTAAATTTGGCTCTTAGTAGAGTTTCGCTTTGTGCTACCCGAATTCCCTGAAATGCTCGCCAGTTAATTTCGGTAACAACCAGAACTCAAATATCAAATTTCAAGAAATTCTATCAATTCGTTCTGTGGATATGATGAAAAATGTAAAATCGGCCCGCAAATCAGTTCTCGAGTCCTGATCTTTCCAAAAAAGTTATATGTTCATTGCTTTAATATGAGGAATTCATATATTAAATTTCAATGAAATCGGTTGATTATTTCTCTTTATATACACAAAAGTGTATGTTTGGCCCGTAGTAAACGTCTAGTTGCCGATGCCTGATCTTTCCAAAAAATTTACATGTTCATTGTTTTAATACGGGGAATTCATATATTAAATTTCAATGAAATCGGTTGATTATTTCTCTTTATATACACAAAAATGTATATTTGGCCCATTGTAAACGCCCAGTTGCTGATGCCTGATTTCTTCCAAAAGTTAGGAATTTTTGCGTATGATCGAGCAAAGCTTATATATGAAATTTCAAGTAAATCGGTTGAATACTTTTTTCAAAATGGTGAAAAATGTAAAATCGGCCCGCAAATCCGTTTTCGAGCCCTGATCTTTCCAAAAAATTTAATGTTCATTGTTTTAATACGAGGAGTTCATATATTAAATTTCAATGAAATCGGTTGATTATTTCTCTTTATATACACAAAAATGTATATTTGGCCCGTAGTAAACGTCTAGTTGCCGATGCCTGATTTCTTTCAAAAGTTAGCAATTTTTGCGGACGGTCGAGCTGAGCTTATATATAAAATTTCAAGTAAATCGGTTGAATATTTTCTTCAAAATGCTCAAAAATGTAAAACAGGCCCGCTAAAAAGTGCAGTTCCCGAGGCCTGATATATACCAAAAGTTGATCGATCCGTGCCATGGTGGAAACAAACTTACATATAAAATTTCAACAAAATCGGTTCAGCCGAACTTGAGATACACGCGTACACACACAGACCGACAGACCGACAGACCGACAGACGGACAGACAGACAGACCCACAGACCGACAGACCGACAGACGGACAGACCGACAGACAGACAGACCCACAGACCGACAGGTTGCTAAAAATGGGAATCATTTAAGGAAGTTTATCAACCGGCATCTAATTTCTGCTTAAGAAAGAGAATCAGCAATAATGAACAAATACGAAATTAAGTTCAACAATTAATAAAATTTAATAGTTCTTCTCTAATAGCTGCAAATTAAATATTTCTACTAAAAAAATTATTGAAATTATAATTTGATATGAAATATTTTTAAAGCAATTAATTTGACATATTTCATAAAAAACAATGAAACTTAGGAAAAGAAAGACTCTTAATCAAAATATCTTTTTACCGACCGTATTGTGTAAACAATAGGTAGGTCATGTGATGGCAACAAATTTTGCATATCGAGTTTTCGGTGGGAACGTACTTCTCCATAGTAGGGAAGTGTAAATAAACTATTTTTAGCAACCTGTCGGTCTGTCGGTCTGTCCGTCTGTCGGTCTGTGTGTGCACGCGTGTATCTCAAGTTCGGCTGAACCGATTTTGATGAAATTTTATACGTAAGTTTATTTCCACCATGGCACGGATTGATCAACTTTTGGGATATATCAGGCCTCGAGAACTGCACTTTTTAGCGGGCCTGTTTTACATTTTTGAACATTTTGAAGAAAATATTCAACCGATTTACTTGAAATTTTATATATAAGCTCAGCTCGACTGTCCGCAAAAAGTCGTATGTCTTATGGAAGAAATCAGGCATCGGCAACTAGACGTTTACTGCGGGCCAAATTTACGTTTTTGTGTATATAAAGAGAAATAATCAACCGATTTCATTGAAATAAAATATATGAATTCCCCGTATTAAAACAATGAACATGTAAATTTTTTGGAAAGATCAGGCATCGGCAACTAGACGTTTAATACGGCCAAACATACACTTTTGTGTATATAAAGAGAAATAATCAACCGATTTCATTGAAATTTAATATATGAATTCCTCATATTAAAGCAATGAACATATAACTTTTTTGGAAAGATCAGGGCTCGAGAACTGATTTGCGGGCCGATTTTACATTTTTCACCATATCCACAGAAAAAATTGATGGAATTTCTTAAAATTTGATATTTGAGTTCTGGTTGCTACCGAAACTAACTGGTGAGCATTTCAGGGAATTCTGGTAGCGCAAAGCGAAACTCTACTAAGAGCCAAATTTACATTTTTCTAAGTATGTTAACTATAAGCTTACTAATGTCCTAAAAATTGGAAAGAAGTATTTAACAAACATTTTTATAATATTCTGTAGCACTTTCATTTAACTAGACAATACACAATGCGGTCGGTTATGTGCTGACTACATCAGATTTTTTTCCTATAGTGTAGGAAAATTAAATTACAATATTCTATCATAATTCTGAATCAGATGAATCAGATTCTGATAGTTTTAAATCGATATGCAAAAAGCAACATTATTTTTATATTACTATTATTATTATAACTATTTCGATTATATAATTGTTGATATTTATAATAACTACTGTTATTATTATTTTTATATGAAAAATACTTCTGAAAATGCCCGAGCATTCCCGTACTGTAATGTCCAAATCTTTCAAAAATAGATCAAAATGTTTCAGTCAACCTTTACAAATATGAATTGTAAGTATACCTTGAAAATCTGATTATAAAGTCAAATCCTAGCGAAATAGATGAAGAAAATTTTTGGGACATGTATAAATTATAATATGGCACTTTGTTACCGAATTTCCTGGTGTCAGCCCAATACCTAGCTACCATGGTGCTACCCAGCTACCCGGAAATGCCATGACATATCACTAAATCTTCTAAAATATATCTGAGCTGCGACCCTTCATGCACCTTAAAAAGCTTTATTATTTCAAATATTTAAAATTAGTTCTTAGAGTTGTATGGTAGACATTCAAACCTGAAAAGATATTTCATAGAAACTTCTGAGACATACCTGAGCTGTGGTTGAACACATGACTTTCATTAGTTTTATTAGTTTTTGAAATATTTAAAATAATATTCTTGAGTGGCATAGCAAGTATCCGAATCCATGGTTCGAATTGTTTTCCTTAAATTAGCAACAGTCCCTGGCAGAAATAAAAACACAATTTTTGAAAGTTTGGTGGGTGGTGTTTTGCTCTTTCTTGGACAGTTGTTCGAAGGAACAAATGGCTTTATCAAAATCAACGCAAAATCTTTCGCTTAGAGGAAATATATTTTTAAATGTCCATACAACAGAAACTCTTTCAAGTGATTACGAACTTCATACAGAATTGTTAGTCTAGTAAAAACCATTGTTCAAATTCTTTCAATCTAATTAGGTTAAATGTTCATTTTTTCGCATGTGTTAAATTTAAAATTGATACCTTTGCGATGTAATCATTTTCATGATACAAGTGTACGAAAAATAATGGGACATAAAGAGCAATTTTTTTTACGT